ACGTTATATGTACAAGTTACTTCATCATGGTAGCATATACGGGTGACTACTAGAAAGATTTGTAGTGAAAAAATATGTATATTCACCGAGCTTACAAAAGATGTCTTACAAAGAAATGTTCTATCGTCAGAGAGCTCATATTGTGAATCTAAGCTTTAAATATAACAACTAGTGGTGTTAACTTATCAAGAGATAATTTACCTTTGGTTAGTTTGAAGCCTTGTTGGAGCGACAAGAAAAACGTTTCGAACAGTTCTAGATTCGTATTCTAGAGACTCCAACCCAGCAAATGAACCCAAACAAAAAGGGGCTTACAGATAGCACTTTTAAATCTCATATCGACCACATCACTAATTCTGTCCATGAATTTCATTTTGATGGTTTGGCTGGTGTTACATTTGAATCATAGCTCAAGAAGTACGAAGATGTATTCAAGGTCAACCTAGAGAAATTTGATGATGCCGCAAACTTCGGAGTATTGCTACGCAAGTTTGGTACAACTGAACACGAGAGCTAAACCAATTTCATTCTCCCTACTAGCCTGAGAGACCTTTCATTTAATGAAACGGTCGTAACTTTATCACAAATTTTCGGTGAACAGTCATCATTGTTCACTATTCGTCACCAATGTCTGAAGTTGGCTAAAGCTGGAGAGAGTTACTGGATACAACATGCTGACATACTAAACCGCGTGTATGAGCGGTTCAAATTATCAGCAATGACAGAAGACCAGATTAAGTGTCTTGTATTTGTATACAGCTTGCAGTCAGCTGAAGATGCCGATGTCAGAGCCAAAATTCTGAGCGAAATTGAACGTTGTCCAAATATAACACTACAAGAAGTGACTGGTGAGTGTCAGAGGTTGGTGAACTTAAAACCTGACTCTTCTACAGTTGAAAATAGTGGCCATCTACCTACAAGCGCTTAAAGAATGGGTAAACCCCCATCAGAAATATAGCATTTTGAGATAACAGACTAGAGTGGGTTACGTTACACAGATTATGTCCAAGCTGTAGTACATAATGAAACCGCGTTAGCGATCAATGACTCTGAGAACTTGTCAAACATTCAGAGTTCACTGATTAGTCCTCTAAACCAGTGAAATGTTAATCGTGATCAGTAATTCGGTTACGGTCCAGTGTTAGTCACTGGAGATTATTTGGGACAATCCATGGTCTAGACTTCCTGTTGTTTCGGAGAGGAATCTAATAATGGTATACTCCATCGCAGATACTGATGCTAAATTCCTTCGAGAGACGTGATCAGATGTATTACTTCGACAGGTTGGGAAGATGGTCTTAGTAAGAGGGAATATTATATTCGGGCTTATGCCAAAGTGGAAGTCTGACGATAGTAACCAAAACGTCTGGTGGATAGAGCGAGCGTCTTATGTCAGCTGGGCCGCCGTAAAATGTGTGAAGGAAACGACGTTAGCAAGTTAAATCAGAGACCGTTGTAAGTTATAAATTCGGAGTACTTTTCGGTAAGTTGTGAATAAATAAATGTCTGATAACAGAACTTTTAGGTCCCATAGCCTTGGCCAACTAAACTGACAAAAGTGATTCGACCAGAATGCTATCGTACAACCACTAAATTAGTCACCAATTAAAACCAACGGAGATTTTACTGGGGCATAGAACCTTGTCGTTGAAGACGCCAGTATCACCTAATACGAATCGTACCCACCAAATGAAATCAAAAAACAAAAGCGAGGAGGTTCGAAGATATATTTGATACGCTATCAATATGTCGTGGATCGACTAATTTAATCTCGCTAGCGATTGCAGGGGATGTCCAGCACGGCGTTCCCACTCGTGATCTGGTGCGGATGCATGACCGAACGCCTTCACCTAGGTGAGTCCATTAAAACTAATGTGGTCAGCATCCAATGTCGAAGACTTGCAGAGCTATTGATCTGGGGGATTTATTTGCCGCTGCAGATAACTCCCTCACTTGGGGGAATGATGGCCTTAAAATGTGGCCAGCCAGAAGTCTAAACCCAAGGACTTTGTCGTTGTTAAACACTCTTGTGATAGCTTGCTATACACAGCAGCATCTGGTCGTTTTTCTTACTATAACGGACCATATAGTACAACATAGTAATAAAAAAGTACAATGAAAATTTCGGTTCCTCGTAAACTCCATCGTTCCTTTTATCGTCTTTGCCAGCCGTCCTGGAAAAAAGGAATATGTATGTCGAAATACACTCGTACGCGCGTAAATACAGAAAGCGGGCAAAAAAGGAAAACAAATTCATACACATGCAATAGCACAAAAGCGATTTTCAAAGAATTTCTGAGTTTCTTTAAAAATTAAATATACACATTTAGGCAAAACAATTTGTTTTTTTAGATGAATATCTAAGTAGAAGTATATTAAATTTTTAATTATATGTAATAGAAAGGAAAATCGAGATGAAGCGAATTGTAAACTAGTGTCTTACGTACAATAATCGTTCAAATGTTCTGGAAACCTCACTCGTCTTCCAGAAAGAGTTGTTTTGAGTCTATCTTTAGATACTGCCAAAATATCATGATGCGTGTTGGAGTCGTGTCTTTCGGTTGTACTGAAGGAAATTCGACGTGAAAAGGATTTCCTTCTAGATATGCTGCTTTTGTGCAGTCGCTGCTGATGCTATCGTTAGTCCTGTTCTTATCGACTATATAGTACTTGGGTTTGCATTAAACAACTTTGAAGGGTCCTTCGTATGCTGATTCGAGAGGTCGTCGATGTGAGTCTTGACATACGAAAATGTGTGTGTTATATCGTAGTTCAGGTTGAACGAAAACACCAGTTGATTGCGGTCGTGTGGAAACAGGTTTAACTAGACGCATTGCGTTTGTAAGTCTGTTCGTGTAAGAGATTAGATCCATGTTCATTGAAGAAGATGAAGGATCCACGAATTCTCCTGGAAGTCGAAGGGTCGTTCCATAAACGAGTTGAGACGCAGTGTATCAAATATAAGCTCTCACTGCATTGCCAATACCCAGTAAGACGAGTGGAAGAGCGTCAGTCCACTGAGAAATGTTTGCAGCTGATAGTAAAGCTTTTGGTTGTCGGTGAAAGCGTTCTTCCAACCCGTTTGCTTGTGGGTGGTAGGCAGTCATTCGGAAGCGAGTGATTCCTAATAGTGTGGTCAGACAACGGAAAAGTCCAGATTCGAACTGACGTCTACAATCTTCAGTGATGGTTGAAGGGCAGCGGAAATTTGCTACCCATCGTACGACGAAGGCGCGGACCACTGTTTCACAAGTAATGTTCCTGATGGGTACTGCTTCTGGCCTTTGAGTGAAACGGTCTACGCAGGTTAGAAGATAAGAGTATCCACTTGAATCTAGTAAATGTCCTATCAAATCCAGATGAACATGGTCGAATCGAGCATCAGGAGTTTTGAACGAGCCTAAGGGACATTTGATGTGTCCAACCACCTTAGATTTCTGGCAGCCTATACAGAGGCGTGCTCACTCCCTCACGTCTTTGTTCCTACCAGGCTAGCAAAATAGTCCTGCTTTAAGCTTGATGGTTGCATGAACACATGGATGAGAAAGTTTGTGTAACGTATTGAAGACGTTACGTCGATAATCTTTCGACACGATTGGGCGATCCCTACCTGTAGATGTGTCGCATAATTAGGTTTCCTTACCTGTTGTCATCTGTTTAATGGTCAGTTTTGGGGCTGTTGAAGATAAATCGTGCTGAAGACCAATGTCTTCTTTTTGAAGCTGGGCGAGTTTAAGAAGATCGATTTTGTTAAAGGTTATACGAGACAAGGCGTCTGCGACTACATTGTTTCCTCCAGAAATGTGCTGTACTTGTGAAGTAAACTGCGAGATATGGTCCAGCTATCGAGATTCTCGGGGTGAGTACTTGTCTGAAGATGAGCTTAATGAGAAGGTAAGAGGTATATGATAAGTGAAAACAGTGAATTCTCGGCCCCCAATTGAGTATTGAAAATGCCGTACAGCTCAATCCATAGCTAGGAGTTCCCTACCGAAAGTGCCATACCTCGATTCAGTGTCTAGCAACTGTCTCGAGAAGAATGTCAAAGATTGCCAGATGTGGTTAACTCATTGTTGTAAAACTCTTCCGACTGCTGAGTCGGATGCGTCTACTGCGGCACTAATGGGTGTTGCAGTGTCGTGATGTGAGATCATGGTTGCCTTTGCGATAAGTTCCTTAACTGTGAAGAGTACATTTCGCGCAGTATCGTCCTTATGATGGATTGCGCATTTCCACGAAGTTGGTCAATTAGAGGTTTCATAAAGGACACCCAGTTTGGTATGAACCGTCTATAGAAACGTACAGAGCTATTGATTTTGGGAATTTATTTACCGCTTCATCGTCTACTCTATTTAAGACTTAAGAAATGTCCAAAAGTTTTGACTGCATAATCCAATGACGTTGCTCAGTGATTTTCTCGAGCTGTTTATTCGATTTATCTTGTCATGACATATTCAGCTAGGAAAGATTGAGATGACTGATCTGTTTCGAATCTTTCATCACAATTCTCCTTTGATTTAATGACATAATCCTTCCTCAAAACAACTAAGTTGCCAATCCTAGACAGGAAAGCCAAACGACGCGGAACGTTTTTCCCCTATGATTATAACATAAAGACGTCACAGATATCCACGGTTTGAGAGCACCGTTGTCCCTAACATCTTTTTAATTAAGGACCCAAAACCTGGTCATACAACGAGTCAGGAATGACGAGATTCGAAGATACATTTGGAGGATATTCGACTGGTCTGAAAATACATGAACTAAGCTGACTAATTGTTGCGAGAGATGAGTAACACAACATAACCAATTGTGATCTGGTGAGGATACTTGATCGAATGCCTTTAACCAAGGGGTGTTCACTGAAACTGGTGAGCGAACTAGTCAGCAATAATACTGAAGACTAACAGCACCGTTTTTTGGGGGGTTTATCTAACACTACAAATAGCGCGTTTGTTCAAGCTTTTCAGAGCCGCGTGGTTCAAAGCTGTTTCTCCAGAATGTCGGTTGGTTTGGATTTCCAGGAGTCTCGGTTGAGGTCGATAGTCGGTATGTCTTCTATATCAGCAGATTGGATAAAAATAAAAGTACTACAGAACCTTTCGAAAGTGGCAATTATAAAAAGGCACTCCAAGAGGCAAATAAAATTCTCAAAAAAACACCAAATTGCACGTCAGCCAAGGTTTGATCACTTCTTGTTTATCCTACGAAGTTTCTACTAGGCACTTAAAGCACTTACACTTCATAGATCTGGAAGGATTACTGAAGCCAATCTGCTAGCTGATGAACTCATTAAGTCATACCCCACTGATGAGTCTACACTTAATGTCATCATGTGTTATTTCCGGAAAACTGGACAGGGCGAGAAAATAGCTGAGTTCTTAAAACGTTCTCTAGAAAGGTCACCCAACAGAGAAGATTTGCTGGTCTGTTTATTCCTTCATCATGTCCAGGAAAGGAACTTTTCTGCACAGCAAGCAACTGCTAGGCTTCTTTTACAAAACTTCCCATCAAGTGCGTTCAACTACTGGGTTATAATGAGCACAATAATGCAAGCCGAATCAAATCCTATAGTGGGACATCGCATGTATTTGCCGCTTGCGGAGAAGATGCTAATCAGGGAAGCTGAGAACGGAAAAATGACTAGACATTCTGAGCTTCAGGTGCTAATAGAATTACTCGCTCGCCTTCAAAAGCATGAAGAAGCTTATAAACTTCTTGGTCGAAAAGACATTACAGGTAAAAAGGTGCTATATTGAGACAATATCAATCATTCTAATAGATCGTATAGATACCGAGGACTACATTTGCGATTACTCTTCCATGAAGCTCAGTTTGTTAGCTCATTTGGACATATGGGATGATCTTTACGAATTGGCGAAATCTCTGACTCAAATCAACCCAGACGACTGGACACCATGGAAAAAACTAATTGAGACGTCTTTAAAAGATATACAGCGGTAATACGTCAATATTTTTATGTCTATCACTTCGTAATCAAAATACATCACGCATTATATTTCGTTAGTGTGGTCAATACAGTCTTAAGTTTGTTCCGCTTTAGTTTTAAACTGTTAGTTGTTAGGTCCAGGTTATGACTTTCGGGTTCGGTACCAATAGAGTCCGACTTCACCAAATCTACAAATTGGCAATATTTCCAAAAGAGATCTGAATTTCAATAACCTGTATTCTTTTGGTACGTCTTACCGTAGCACAACAAGAATTATTCTGTTACTAAATTCCATGTGTCCCCACTTGTTTCAATCAAGTACATTGTTTTCCCTACTAAAAGTAATCCATAAAACCTACACTAAGCACAATGTGATGAACTAGAGTTAGCTTAGAGAGATGATTCATCTGTTTCCATATATGCTTACGTATTTTTCTTATCAAAACTGTCCCATGAATCAACCGTGAATATATGCAGTAAATTCTTCAGAATACGTCTAAGTTGTAATTGTTCAAAAATCGCATTTTGTAGATGTTCTTTCAATATCTTTTTGGGTATGTATACGATCATTAATAAACGACCTGGAACTTGGTGCTGGCAAATATCCGTTCATGTAGCAACACTTTAGAAAAAAGAAAGTGGTAAGGGAAATAAGTTGTGAAAAGTATCTCAATGTTAGTGAGCAACCAAAATTATACACTGAAGAAACCTGTTTTTTAGGGGCCAATGATCATAGACATTGGAATGTAAGTCAAAGCCAGTCCCACTCCGGAACTAATTCTATTTTCGTAAATCTATGTTCTGCTTTGATTACTCAGTTTACTATTCAGATGTATGTAGGTTCAAACCAGTGTTTTAACTCCTATGGTGATGGGTGTCAGTTCACTAAAAGTATGTAAAAATGTAGCACATATTTGCGCGAGGTTGTACTCTAGTGACGACTGATCTCGAGGTTCAAAGAATCTGTACTTAAAGTTCTATCTTTTCCTTATTCGTTGCATTTTAAAATCTCAGTGAAAATAATTTATAGCCCCCAAATGCCCTGGTACGGCCAAGAGTGGGGAGAGTCCGCTCTCCCTCTCAAAACGCTCTCACATGGCCACGCGTATACAGCCTCTGCCAGGTAAGTCCTACTCACTGCCTTCTCGTGGCGGGGGTGTTGTTTACGAAAATGAGAGGACGAAAAGCAAATGTCCGGCATCATTATTGTACATGTATGTTATTGCATACTAATATTATGCTACTTCTTTCCCAACTATCCATATCCCATTTAATACAACAATTGAATTTTCGTGGATTAGCTCATCCTCGTGGAGTACACAAGATTTTAGATGTTTCTTATTCTTTTCGTTACTATTGAATGTCTGTGTAGCATTCTGAACGTTCTTTTTGATGTGGGGCATCAAATACTATGGTTTTATGTTTTATGTCACAATAATGTATCGTAAATCCTAATCACAACACTTTGAATGCTTTAAACTAATATTATGTCGTGATAAACGTATGACAGTGTATTTACCATGACACGAGTTGCACCAAAAGTAGATTAGTTTCTTTCATATATTATATTTATTATGCCCTGGTATCTCCGAGAGTGGGATGGGTTCGCCCTCCCCCTCGAAATGCTCTCACATGGCCACGCGTATACAGCCTCTGCCAGGTAAGTCCTACTCACTGCCTTCTCGTGGCGGGGGTGTTGTTTACGAAAATGAGAGGACGAAAAGCGAGTGTCTGGCGCTTTAACCGGATCCCAAATCAATGGTGCACATGGGCTCCAGTATCCTGCGGGAACAAATGGCGTATGAACCAATTTCTTGGTCACTGGCTACCATGGAACTGCATCTCCTCACGATGCTCCACTGCCTTGTGGGTTAGACCTTTAGGTCAAAGGCTCGGGGTGTGGCCCCCTAAGAAAACCACCTGCTTCGGTCTGGGAAGGCGGGCAGTATCACAGCCCTCACACATATCCAATGAGATCTGTGTGGCGCATATGTATTCGGCGCCTCCTTGTACCGATATCTATGTGTTAAAATAATAATAATAAATAATAGCAGTAATTTATATAGGGTTTTGTGCATTTCCTATCTAACTTAATTCAGGGTTACAATACATAAGTTGGTTGTTATTTTTTTAAAAACCTGTTTAATACACTGCAATCCCTTCATTATTCTTCCCCCTGTTAGCTTTGCATATGGCAACATATGGTCATGGATTATTTGCGTTTGACAGTTTGGAAACAAATTTATTAAATATCTTTTTTCCATTCGAGAAACAGGAAATTGCCTCGGGGTATTTAGTTAAATGCACCAGTAGTGTTTAAAACCTTTATTTTAGCTACTGTTTATGGATAGATTCTGCTAATTGGTGGTAATCAACGTTCAACACGTCCCTGCACTTGCCGTCTTTGTTACATTAGACGTTGAATGAGCTTGCAATCGTTTTTTTTACTTTAGTTTGTTTTAAACACCTTTTGGTACTCATTTACTATTAATTTAATAGGAGATAAATGAGCAGCCAATTTTTTCTCCTAAAATAGTGTAGAAAAAGTTATGTCGTTAATCGACATCGCCATAACGAATCATCCTCATAATCGTGGCCCGCAACTTGCGCGTTTGGATATGTATGCGAACCTGTTACAGTTGGGAATGCATCTTGTTTGTAATCATAATCCAATGACATTCTTGGAGGACTACTTTAATGCATTCTCTCATAAGCCCATATGTTCTATGGATTTGGCTTACCTTGTACGTATGGTTTTACCAAAAGTGGATGATCAAATCAAGGTAAATCCTCTGATTTCCTTCGTCATATTTTTTTGCTCTTGTAGTATCATTTTATTGTTTTTTACTAAGCAGCCCGGTTAGTCAAGCAAGCAAACTGATTTATTTTTGTGTGTATGATGCAATCATTACATTATAAGATTTCTTACTGACTTGTTCATCATTGTCGTAAATCTTTTATATTTTACTTGTTCTTGGTCTTTATTTTGTTTACAATGCTAAAGTTGAAAGAAAAACGTTCAGTGGTTTTTAGTGAAACTGCAGTCAAAAACAGGTATTCTGATTTATCGAATCAGTTTACTTGCACTCATTCGTGATTGCGGTCAGTTACGAGCGGTTTAAAATTTTGTTTATCTAGTCGTATGCTTACTGTTGGGATGTAGGGAATTGAATTTCTCGTTGTTTGTTGTAAGTCAGGAGCAGCATTCTCCAATCTGATGTTAAACCATGTGCTTTAAGAGATTTTAACTCATTAGAAAAATAAGAAGCAACTATAAACCGCAAAGATGTAAAAAGGAATCTGTTCCAAATTACTGAAATTAGTAAGTAGTTACAACTTTAACTAAATCTTCGTGAACATAGTAGGAGGTACAGAGAAGCATAACAATTGCGACATTTTGTAAAAAGTGGCTGTGAGAATACTTACTATCGAGGAAAAACTTAAGTGGTAAATCATACAGAGGAATTTATGACCACGTAACTAAGTCCACGTTAATGACATCGGTTCACGTAGCCAATGACCAAATGCTGTAATTGAACAAACGAATCATGGGTCCGATATAAGATAGTAACCGAAGACATCACAGAAGCATAAAACTTATATTTTCTTGAATCAGATGGTTTATCAGCAGCGGTCGCATGCAGTGGACGTGTCACTGGGTGTTATTTCTGTTCTGTTCATTTATAAACCAGAATTAACAGTCAAGTCAAGCGCATATTCTTAGACATACTTATCTGTCACTGTTGTCACGAAAAAAGTATTTCTATTCTAAACTACCCTCAAAGAATGTACGTGAGGGTTTGGTATTTCTATTACTGCTACTTCTAAATGTCATGTTCTGTATTGTGGCTTTTGTTAGGTTTTATACGAAAAATTCTAATTGATATGTTTGTTATTTTGATCTTTGGATTTTAAGGCATTAATGACTTAATATTGTCACATTGTTTTTTTGCTCTCAACAGTATATTAATTTTGTTATGGAGGTTGCTGAGATTGATATAAACTTCGTAAGTCATTTTTAGTCTAACATCATTATTGTACATGTATGTTATTGCATACTAATATTATGCTACTTCTTTCCCAACTATCCATATCCCATTTAATACAACAATTGAATTTTCGTGGATTAGCTCATCCTCGTGGAGTACACAAGATTTTAGATGTTTCTTATTCTTTTCGTTACTATTGAATGTCTGTGTAGCATTCTGAACGTTCTTTTTGATGTGGGGCATCAAATACTATGGTTTTATGTTTTATGTCACAATAATGTATCGTAAATCCTAATCACAACACTTTGAATGCTTTAAACTAATATTATGTCGTGATAAACGTATGACAGTGTATTTACCATGACACGAGTTGCACCAAAAGTAGATTAGTTTCTTTCATATATTATATTTATTATGCCCTGGTATCTCCGAGAGTGGGATGGGTTCGCCCTCCCCCTCGAAATGCTCTCACATGGCCACGCGTATACAGCCTCTGCCAGGTAAGTCCTACTCACTGCCTTCTCGTGGCGGGGGTGTTGTTTACGAAAATGAGAGGACGAAAAGCGAGTGTCTGGCGCTTTAACCGGATCCCAAATCAATGGTGCACATGGGCTCCAGTATCCTGCGGGAACAAATGGCGTATGAACCAATTTCTTGGTCACTGGCTACCATGGAACTGCATCTCCTCACGATGCTCCACTGCCTTGTGGGTTAGACCTTTAGGTCAAAGGCTCGGGGTGTGGCCCCCTAAGAAAACCACCTGCTTCGGTCTGGGAACGCGGGCAGTATTTCAGCCCACACATTAAACATGATGAACTGTCTACTTATTGAAAATATTCTTTCGTATAAGTTTTTATTCGTTTTGTAGTCATAATTGCTTTATGCCAGAATTTTGCTACTTGATTGATGTTCTTTTCTCATCCATTATAGCTACTTGAATCTGACCACTTATAACAATCAGTCATATCCAACATTAGCACATCGAGATGAAAGCATCAAGACAAATCCCAGAGTAGTGGAATTGGTAACAGTATCGGTAGTAGTAGTAGTAGTAGTAGTAGTAGTAGTAGTAGTAGTAGTAGTAGTAGTAGTAGTAGTAGTAGTAGTAGTGGTAGTAGTAGTAGTAGTGGTAGTGGTAGTAGTAGTAGTAGTAGACAATAGTAGATGTGGGAAAAGAAAAAGTGTAAGATTTTGGTGTTCAGGAAGTAAAGAAAGGCAAAGAATGATTGTATCTGCGCCATTGAGATTTTTGAGTCACCACTTATGACTGTCAATATTTATCACTTTTTACAGACAAACAAAGAAGATAAGACAATTTATCGTCATCTGTGCGCTCACCAGATAGCACGTGCTAATAATCAAGGAGCTTCTTTACAGTCATTACTTCGTTACTACTTTGGATATGCCCCAGATCGTAGTGAAGTTTTACTAAAGAAGTTAAAAAGTGTTGCTGTTAATAATGAAACAACTACTCTTGACCTTTATCCAGTTGATGGATTTTTGCTATTATCTTTATCCTCGCTTTTGGAAACATCCTCTCCGGTTTATGAGTGTCCATTCTCTCTTGGAACTGGACTTCTTTCCATTTACTGGATCTATGCAATCGGATTAGAGCACACAAATCTTAATCACCATTTGCGCATAAAATTGTGTAATTTATACTCTTCAGATTTTCTTAATTGTCCTGAACTTATATTGCCCCAGCTAGACAAACTTGAAATCAAACAGTTGCTGTTCCTCTCACTAGGGTAAGCAAGTCTTCCATGATTTAAATATTGTCAATGTTCGGTTGATTTGAATTCATGGTTTTAAACACTGCTTTTTTTCAACGACAGCTTATTAATTATGAAACTGCTGGTGAATTTCATCGTTTTTTTAAATAGGGACGTGGAATGACTGAATGTCTGTTCTAGGAAATCTACTTATTTGCACCTGTTACCCCTCGTGGAGTAGTATTGAAATCTGTCCTGGGTAATTTTTATATTTGTTTCCAATTGCTATTCATCTTTTAGGTGTCTCCTTCCAATTCCCACCACAGTGTGTTCTTTGGCCTTACTCTTTTCCGTTTCCTTTTAGGATTTCAAGTTAGCACTTGCTTCGTGATCCAGTTCGATGATTTCTTTAATTTATGTTCTATCCACTTCCAGCGTCTTTTGCTAATTTTCTCTTCAGCTGGAAACTGGTTTCTTCTCTCCCACAGTAGGCTGTTGCTGATGGTATCCGGCCAACGGACATTGAATATCCTGCGTAGACAACTGTTTATAAATACTTGTACCTTCTTGATGATGGTTGTGGTAGTTCTACAAGTTTCAGCTCCGTACAGTAGGACTGTCTTGATATTCCTATTGAAGATTGTTACTTTGGTGTTGTCTGGCAGTTGTTTCGAGCTCCATATGTTCTTCAATTGTAGAAATGTGGCCCTCGCTTTTACAGTCCATGCATTCACGTGTGCATTAGACCCACCTTATTGATCAATGATGCGTCCCAGGTACGTAAAACTCTCCATCCCTTCCAGAGTTCTTCCATCAAGTGTGATTGTGCTGGTATTTTCCGTGTTGCATTTTAGGATCTTGCTTTTTCCCTTGTGTATATTGAGGCTTACCGATGCAAAGGCTTTCGCTACACTGGTTATCATGACCTTCATTTGCTCATGTGTATGGGATAGAAGGGCTAGGCCATCTGCGAAGTCCAAATCGTCTGGTTGCATCCAAGCTGTCCATTGTATTCTGTGTTTTCCCTGAGATGTCGAAGTCTTGATAATTCAGTCAACCACCGGAAGAAAGAGAAAGACAGAGTGAGTAAGCTTGCCTGACACTGGTCCTCATTCGGAATACGTCTGTCAGCTGACCTCCATTCACCACTTTATGGTGTAGTCTGTATGATGCTGACGATCTTGTCAGGCACACTATAATATATAAGAAGGTTCCATAAGGTTCTTCTATCCACACTGTCAAACACTTTCTCACAGTCGAAGAGAGTTGATGTATGGTGGCGAATCCCATGCAACTGATTGCTCAGAAATGATTCGTAGTGTCAAGACTGATACTTATGGAATCCGGCCTGTTGATCTCGAAGCTGAGCGTCTACTGAAGTTTTCATTCTGTCCAGCGACACTGTTCAAAACGTTTCTCGATACTGACAGTAGTGTGATACCTCTGTAGTCCTCACACTTGTTGGGGTCTTCTTACTTTGATATGTTGACGAGTTATCCTCCTTTCCAGTCCATCGTCACTTGTTCTTCCTGTCAGTCAGTCAATCAGTAACGACGTGGAACTTCGTACGAACGTACATCAGTTCGAGTTGCCATACCACATTAGCACACAGATTCAGTTATCGATTCAAATCCCGTAGTGGTAGAGGTAGTGAAAGTATAAGTAGTGATAGGGAACATTAAGGTTTGATGTTATTTAAGGAGTATAGTCCAGTGGAATAGATTTGGAAAGAAAATAAAGGACATGGAGAATTCAGGAGATTAGAGTTTGAGAGAACACTGAGAGTGGATGCACCTGCGCCATTGCAAACGATTTTGAGCCATGTCATTCAAGGTCTCTAACCATCGGTTGCTATCATCTCGCGGTCCCCAACCAAGTAGTCTACATCTACCAACATGGTTCAGTCCACTTGTCAGTGACTTTATGGATTTGTGCCATGTTTTGGTCTGGCCGCCACTAGATTTCTTCCAACCTACTCCCACACCATAAAACATCGCACGTCGTGGCAGTCGGTGGTTGGGCATGCCTAACTGTTTTTCTAGTTATCCCTGAAATATATTCTTAGCTTGACTATCATTAAGTATGACCCTAAGAGGTTTCCTTGAAGGGTCTTTCCTACGTCCAGTGAGACGCAAACACACGCACGTACTAGAGCACGATATGAATCTAAGCATGTGCTCCAGAATGGGCGACAGTCTTCTATCTAGCTCCTCCATCGGTGGCTGATAGCGATGTGATCTATTTGGGTCCAGTGTTGGGACGAACCCGGGGTTCGCCATGTTAAAAGATGTTTTTCCTTATGATTAAAGTTAGTATTTGCAAGAAACGAGTGATTATTTGAGCATAGCGGCGACAGACATTCGCCACTGTCTGTTATTTTAGCCGCGGCACCATAAGATCCACCCAGGTGTCTTTCCCTTTCTCTTAGTTTACCTACTTGAACATTAAAGTCACCAGCCACTATTACTACATCTGAACGCCTAGCTTTTCGGAGAAGGTCGGAAAGCTTTCTGTAAAACTCATCTTTTACATCATCTGAGCTGCAGTCAGTGGGAGAGTAGGCAGAGACGACGAAGAGGCAACGACGAGTGTCCCTATCTTTCCGAGTCCTTACTGCTCCGTTTAGTCGGACAGCGCACAAACGACTGTCTAGTGGAATCCAGTCTAAGAGAGCTAGTTCTAACGTAGGACTCAATGCTATACCTACGCCAGCGAGGCCAAGGGAAGCAGCATTAGGGCTTCCAGATACACGAAGCGTAAATCAAGTTAGTTCGTTACTTTGACATGGTGCGGTCAAATGAATGACACTACCAGGACCCTGTGTGCGCGTTTCGGAGACGCAGCACACATCGATGGCACGAGATTCTAAAGTCTTAGCTAAGGAAGCCTGTTGTCCTATTTGGCACAGTGTTCGGACGTTGATAGCTCCTACGTGTAGTTTGGAGCGTGGTTTCAGGAGACCAAGAATCGTTTGCACTAGCGGGGTGAGGTGATAAAGGGACGTGAGAAAGGTTGGTTGTGGAGATAAGAGAGGTACTAGAAGGTGTAAGAAGGGTTTGAATGTGACCAACTTGGTCTCGTGTGTTGTTACGGATATGAGGGCTGATGTCACTTCCTGGCTGCCCAAAACGTGGAAGGGTATTTTTTGAGGAACCTGGAAAGGAAGTTGGATTGGTGTTGATCTTAACGACCTGGGAGCGCGACAGCAGAGTCCAAGGGAACACTGCTTAAGGCCGGTCGCGCACGGCCTTTTTGTGGGAGGTTTTTAATGTGTTAGCTCCGTTCTTCAAAAGGCCTTACCACCGGAAACGGAAATCCGTGGGGTAAGGTGAAGTGTGACATTTTTAGGGTCAACCTTTTCTAACCCCTTTCTTCCTTGCGAGAAGGCAGCATTGCTGCAGATGCTGGTTGTCCGAGGAAAACACCTTACTGCTGTCACACCTCTGTACAGTCAGCAGTACAACTTCGCCCTCAGACCTTCAGTTGCCGCTTTTAGTCTTACTGTTCTCCAATCGACCTGCCTGGCATGGTAGAACCTGCAGGAACATGTGTTCCAGCCAATATAGCTCGGTTGGGTCATCACGATAGGCAAGCCCGATCACCACGTCAAGGTAGCAGCTACGGTCGGGAAATCTTCCTGAGTAGAACGTGTAGCATGTTTGCAGTTACTTATATGTCTAACTTCAGTGCTTCAGCCGGTATGTTGTCTGATCCTCTTGCTTTCTCACGCTTGATTCGTCTGATGGCTATGCTGACTTCTCTAGTTATGATTTGAGCGACATCTAGATGAAGGTCTGTGTGTGCTGCTTCAATTTCTGATGGGTTCAATTGGTCTGGTCTATTCAAGGGTTCTTCAGAATGCTCTACTCACGTGTTCCTCTTTTACCGAATCTCAGTGATTGGTTTGCCTTCTTTGTCCTTGACTATTCGCTCTGGTTTACTATATTCCCCCTTCTAGTTTCTGTTGTCATATAGTTGTCTGATATTTCCTCTTTCAACCATTTCCACTGCCGTTGCTAGGTCTCCCATGTATTTATACTTGTCGGCTTTTATGCCTTCCTTCACTTCCATGTCTGCTTCTGTGTATTCGGTCTGTGCCTTGACTTTCTCTGCTCTTTTTCATATGTCTTTGTGTTCTTTATTGAATATTTTTCGGGTTTTTGATAGAGATACATTCCTTATGATGCCTCTTGCGGCCCAGAACCTCCTGACACGTTGAAGTTAGTGCCTCTTTGATCCCTTTACAATTGTCCTCCATAGTAGTTTCATCTTTTAGTAGATCTTATAAGGCTTTGGTCCTGCTGTTGAGTTATCTTGAATTGGTTTAGTTTTCCAGTGTCTCGGTGAAAGTCTGTATTAAACCTTTGCAATATTGTTTCCCTTGGCAACCACCAGATGGTGATCTGAAGCTATATCAGCTTATCTCTTTGTTTTCATGTCTTCCATTGACCTTGTGATTTGCCTACTAATGCAAATATGATCGATCTGATTCCCTGTAGTGTGATTCGGTGAGACTCATGTAGCTTTGTGCATGTGTTTGTGGGGGGATATAGTGTCACCCATAACCATTCATTGTGATTCCCTCCTTTGTTATGATTGATGCTTTGATGATCCTTAGTCCATGAAATTCCTATCCTACAAGTACTTTACGTGCTTTATTGGACAGCATCAGAGCAACTCCCTGAGAGTGAAACATTTTCTTCTTCATGATCAGAGTACAGCGACATCTCTCCTGAATCTATCCTTTTCTGTCCATCTTGGGTCCGATGGGTTTTCTTATTCAAAGCGCCATCAAGTTGTATCTCCTCATTTCCATAGCTATTTGATTGGTTCTCGCTGTCTTCTATATTGTCCGATCATTCCATGTATCTACATTAATTGTTGCTCTGGTTGTTAGGAGGTATATTGGAATGGTGACTTCCAAAGAATCTCGGCTTTCATCGTGAGGCGTCATAATTCTTCTGAATGAAGATCCTACGACTCAAACGGTTCAAATATTTTCTTCTGATTGGCGGTTTTGGCAAGGTTGTTTTCTA